GAATGTCGTATAGCCATGCTCAACGAGTTGAGCTCCTGCATAGAAACTTGTTGCATAAACGGAAAACAAAAAGAAGAACGAAAGTCCGTATCCCGTTCCACTGATCAAACCCTGCCTTAACCCTGTTTTCATAGGAGCCTCGCATTTCTTTTTATAAAGTTGCATTACCTTTTCTTCAGCACAAAAGGAAGCAACCGTTCTTATACTCCCAACTGCATCATTAGCAACTTGACTGGCCTCCTCGTACATCATCTGAAACCAATTTATATTACATACGTAAATCAATAATATTCTTAAGAACATGACCCTTTTTACGTTATTTTTTACAAATATTGAAGTAATATTTGAGCATACTTTTGCATCTGCACTAAATCCCTTCATGAATTTTGCTTGAATATATCCATTTACCCCTACTAGAGGGATTAGTGCTAGGATAATAAATGCCATCTGCCAACTTGCAATGAAAGCAATGACAACACCAGCCACTGCTGATGCCAAGCTGGAGACTAGCTGAGCTAGTGCATCTCCAACCAGGGCACGTATCGAGCCTGCATCCGCCGAGAGCCTTGCGCCAATTGAGCCACTTGAATTCTCAGGTTCATCAAACCAACCGAGTTCCATGCGGACCACTTTCTCAAAACATGTTGATCTGATTCGTTGGATTAATTTACATCCAGCGACAGAAAAGAAGTATGATTGAATTGGATATATAAAGAATGATGCCATGCCAATGGCCAAAAATATCAGTGCCCAGAATTTTGAATCCTTTTTCAATTCATCATGTGGTTCGTAAAATGTTTTGATCATACTGGAAATTAGGATGCCAAAAACCGGAAGTATCACACCATTGGCAGCCGCAAACAGAGTTCCAATTAAGATCACGAGAATCTCTGGTTTGTTGAGGTAAGCAATCCGGAGGAGGGGAACCTCTGGAGCGTGTTTCATTGGTGGTCCATCACGGTCTTCTGTATGTAACATTGCAGGATCAGTGACATTCATTTCAGTAGGTAAACCAAAAGGTGTGGAGAAAGAATTGCGGCTGCTACTATTTCTAGATGATCCCCTGCTGATTGATCGCTTCAATGATCTTCTTAGGCTTGACTCTCTAAACGATTCTGGAGTAACATCTGATACATCTGCAACCTGTTCCGACTGTTTTTTTACTTCTTGTAAACGAATAAGCTGAGAGTAAGCTCCCTCGGGATCCTTGAGTAGTTCTGAATGTGACCCTGCACAATTCAAAGAGATGCTATCGACAATGAGAACGATGAAAGTCTGCATATATTTGGAATCTCGAAATACAAAAATCTGGAAAATACACCAGTATGCAGGCAAAATCATAGTTTAGTTAGTCGAATAAAAATGCATCCCCTTGATAACATGCATCGTTTAGATAGCACCACTTACTATCAAGTTACAAAATTTGAAAAAAAATATCATTAAAAGTTATACCTTCTTCAACCATCTTTCCTTGATGAATTACAGCAATGGTATCTGCATTTCTAATGGTACTCAAACGATGAGCAACAATGACAGTAGTCCTATTGCCCATTATCCTGTCCAACGCCTCTTGCACGACTCTTTCAGATTCAGCATCGAGTGCACTTGTAGCTTCGTCTAAAAGTAAAATCCGAGGATTCTTTAAAATTGCTCTTGCAATCGCCACTCGCTGCTTCTGTCCGCCAGAAAGCTGAGTTCCATGCTCTCCAACCATGGTATCTAGTCCCTATGAGTAGGGTCCAAAATTTCAAAAGTCAATCCAATTGTGCAATTTACAAATAAAAGTACTCGAGAAATAAAGTAGAACTAATTGAACGATAAATTAAAACCTGAGGTAGTTTATCAATGAACTTAGCAGCATTTGCAAGCTCTGCCGCTGCTCTTATCTCTTCTGTGGTTGCACCTTCTTTTCCATACGTAATATTATCCCTTATGCTTGACGTAAACAACACTGGTTCCTGGCTAACAAGACCAATATTTCCTCGTATCCATCTAAGCTGGAACTCCTTGAGATTAATTCCATCGATAAGAACCTCACCGGCTTGTGGATCATAAAATCTCTCTATCAGACTGATCGCAGTTGATTTTCCGCTTCCACTTTGTCCAACCAAAGAAACTGTAGTGCCACTCAGAATAGAAAGAGAGAATCCACTGAAAATTTGCTCCTCTGGTCTGGCAGGGTAGCTGAAATAAATATCCCTCAGTTCTATATCCCCACGAATGTCCTCCAAAACTTTCCCACTCGTGTCGAATGAATCAATCTCTGGTTTCCTTTTGATGGTCTCGAACATCTTAAACGCTGCAGCTTGACCAGCAGCGAATGCAGTCATGCACGGAGATGACTGCCCCAGGGACCTGAAACATACGTCATACCAACGAATTTAGCCTCTTAAGCATGCATAACACAGTAAAAGATGGAGAAAATTCAAATTTTAAGCTCACATGGAACCGGTTAATATGGCCATAATCACATTAAGTACTTGACCACCGGTGTACCCTTTCTCCAAAATCATCTTCCCACCAAACCAGACAGCCAAAGCATAGCTGCAGAATATAATTAGCATAACTAAGCCAACACCTAGTCCAGCAGCAGTACCTTCCTGGACGCCTGATTTATATGCTGTAACAAGTGACTTGTTGTAATTGTTTATGGCTTGCTTCTCGCCGGTAAATGACGCAACCTGGAACCAGAGCAAATGATTAGTCATATATATACATTCACCAAATAGGAAAAAGCAAAATATTGATGACTGAAAATGATTTTGAGATGGAACTTACAGTTCGAATCGAACCAATTGTTTGTTCAACTACAGTAGCGGCCTTAGCATAAGCATTTTGTCCACGGGTTGCCATCTTGGATATTGTAATTGCTATAGTTCCACCAGATAATACAAGTAGAGGGATAGCAGATAACATGACTAGGGTAAGAAGCCATCCTTTGACAAACGCTATAACAAAGCCTCCAAGGAAAGTGGATATTAACTGTGAAAACTTCCCAACCTGGGTAAAAGTATAGATGAATGAACCATGATTCCCATGAAAATATATTACTCAACAAGCACTCTAAACGTCCCGAGTCACGACTCAGGACTTAAGACTAGGATAATATAGTTGTATACCTTTTCACCCATAGCGTCCTGTATGAGAACTGTGTCCCCAGACATTCTTCCAACAACTTCCCCTGTGTTTGTTTCCACATCAAAGAATCCAACATCTTGTCTCAATATGGTTTTCAAGTACAGGCCCCGTATTCGTGCAGCCTGTCTCTCGCCTGTGATCATCCAGCAAGTCACCTCTGAGAAAATAACAAAATCCAAGCTTTTCAGTATGAGTGCAAGACAACATCAAGTAGCACAACATCAAGCAATGTGATTTCAACGAGAGGTTTTCTTACGAAGAAATGCCGCTACCGCCGCCCCCATCGCCAAGTAGACAAATCTCAAAGAAACCTAAGATTTTTATTTTCAAGAATTCAGTTAATAACCCCCTATGTGAGACAGTCATGCAAAAAAGCTAAGTTCGTACCTTGGACACTTCTTCAATGACGTTGCCATTTCTCTGGTTTCTCCCAAAAGAATCAATGAGATTCCCAAACAAGATTGTCATGAGGGGCATAGATAAACCATTCCCAGCTGCAGCGATCGTGCCGGTGACCATTAACAAGATATCCTTACAATCTGCAAATGAAAACAGCTTGTAAAACGGAACTGTGTTAGCATTCTCAGCTCCTTTGCTGCTTTCAGGATCTTGATTTTCTCCATTCAATCCAGAGACTTTCTCTGGCTCTTCCAGCCCATTTGATGCACTTGCTTCATGCAAGTTCGTAACTTCATCTCCACTGAAACCATTCTCGGAGGCCATTGATCGGCTCCCAAGCTATATTACTTGGGTACTCAACAACTTCAGAAATCTATAGGATTTACTATATTGTAGCTGCAGCAACCAAATAAAAATTAATTGTTCAAACTCAGATTAATGAAAAGAAGAGAGTTCAAATGAAAGACTCCCAGGGATTAATAGTTCCAACAAGGTCCAACTTTGTTGAAGGCTGGACTCTCTTTGTTTAAAAGCATATTTATATGCTCTTTGGAGAGTTTTTGCCTTGAGCAGCAAGCCTGTACGCATGTAAAAAAACTTATTATTCACTATTATCCAATCAAACCCAATTGTCTTTTTTCTTTGCTCCAAACAAAACTGTATTGCATAAAATCTAAGACTGCTGGCCTGGAGTTTGAAACTTACCGCTGAAAAAGACGATCGTAATAAATTTGCCGAAGGGATCAAAAAGTAGAGAAAAAGACCAAGACTAAAACCAACACAATTTGCAGGCAAAAGCATCTCTTTTGAAGTGACCGTATCGACTGGGATTTCGCTTCATTTAATATAGAATCAACTATTATCCCCTACCCCTTCTCTTTAATACCATCAAAATCGAACAACAAAGAAAAAGATAATTATCAACTTGATATTCAAAAAAGTTAAAATAAACTCACGAATTACATATTTTCATTCATTAATAAATCAAGCATTTATTAAATTTATTTATTTAGTAAAATTTAGGATCCATTATTTAAAATTTACGATATCTTAACTTATCTTATAATTTAAGAGAATAAAATTTACGATATCTTAAACTTTGTGACTAACTGCACTGTTGGTGGTGTGTGCATGTTGACCTCCAAAACCACCAGACCTGTTAGTACCATGAGTAGATTGTATACACCTCAACATCTTTTATTGCTGTTTTTTTCCCTTTAGTTAATTATATTATTTAAATCTAATTTGATACATATAAATTGCCAATTTTCTTATATTTTTAAATTTTTTTTTCTCATAATTTTTCCATTTTAAAAAAATAAGTTAGATATTTTTATTAAAAAATTCCTCTTATTTTTTTCAAGTCGGTTTAAGATTTCAAATAAAATCGAACTGGGACAAGCGGTATAAAAATGGAAATGGGTTCAGATACTTTTGAGTAAGGATCACCGAACACAAATTGCTTCAATGGGAAACACTATAAAATATTTACTTAAATGAAACCAAGGATACAAGAACAACCACTTCCAAGGCTCAGGCTAATACATTTCACTCACGGTAGTAATGGCCATGAGTTTGGTCCATAAACGTTAAATTTACTTGCAACGTATCGCGCCAGGATCATACTCCCACTCCATGTTATTTGTTGATTGCCAAAGCGCTTAGCCAGCTTCACATAAATAAAGTTCATCTTTGATGAGGTCTGTTGTTGCATCAATCTCAGCCACTATTAAGCAGCAGCAACTGAATAACCCCAACTGGTATATATACAGTTGGAGATACCGCAGATGGTATATATACAGGCTGATACGAAACCCAAACTGTATAAAGAAATATCTGCCGAAAAAAAGGATTACCTCTATCCTTAGCTGTAAAACTCGAACAAACTGCATAGAGAAGAAAGCCTTTACCATATAACTGCTTGTAAGCATACCAAATCAGAGCATAGAAGCAGAGGATGGATTCGCTACTTAACTGACCTCTCTGGTCCTGACTCCTGATAACTTCCAGGCTAACTCCCATCTAAAACTATTTTCCCCTCCTGCAGCTCCCCGATATGGAATTGCAGCAGATAAAAATAAAAAAAGGAAAAGACTAAACGGAAACATGAAAAGTTGAAAAACATATTCCTACTTGCTTTTGCCATGATCCAAATATCACAGCCCATCACTAGTTTCCTTGATGGTCGATTATTTGTATTCTTTTTTTGTGAAAGTGACCCTTGTCTCTTTACCCACCCAACCCCCATTCTCCAAACACAATGTGCTTACCATCTTTCACCACCTTAGGACCACTATCAGTGCCAAAACCACTGCTGATCAGATCAATCAGCAGTCTCAGCATCTGTTTCTGTTTCTGTAATAGTCTCCGGAAGGGTGACTGTAATTGGTTGCCATCCCGACTGATGATTTATAATCCATTTCTTCATGTCAACAATCATATTCAAGATCTGGAGAGTATCACCTAAAGCAAATTCTTCCAAGCATGCCTTTTTTAAAGCGAGAGCTGCTTCATATCTGCAGATTTGGTAACAAAGTTAGGCTGAGGGAATACCCTAAAAACCTAGGACCAACTAAAGAAGGGAAAACAATAGAAAAAAAGAGGAAATCACCAAAGCATATAATTACCTGCATTGAGAAGCCATCATTGCAGATCGTCCAGCAGGGGATGATAAAAACTTTTGTATTCCATCCCAAGTTTTGTTTGAGTACTGATTTGGATTCCCACCAATGGGATTGATACACTTCCACGGTTTCTCATTTCTACCAACAAACAACTGCATTGCACCAAAACTTTGCTTCAATACCATTTGTTGCTCAACTGCACTATCCAAAGCCTTCTTTACATCAGTATTGCGGTGTTTTGGATCTCCATATCGAATGCAATCATTAATGTTCACTTCAGTAGGCATAATTTTTTCATTTTTCAGTGTGTTTAATGCAAGCAAGATAACACCTATAAGACCTTGCACATATTCAGATGGTGGTGAGCATCCTTGAGCTCCCCAGCTTCCATTGCTAGATGAACTAGAAATTAGTGAGGATGAGGGAGGTGGAAATTCAGGACTGCGTTGACGCCTATTACCAACATGCTGCAGACTTGCTTGGTCACTGTGCAACACATGGCTCTTTTGCGGCGCATAAAGGACACCTTGATTAGGCAATGGCTCGATAGAGCTTGTTTTAAACTCTCCTCCAAGTTGATGGGGAACATTAGAAAGATTTTGAGCATGGGTGGAGGGTTGAGAGATATTTAACTTACTGATATCAGGCATATTTTGTGGGGCCAAATATCTAGGCCCCTCCGCTCTAGGAGGAACAGGGCCGAAACCATAATTTTGTGCATTAGGGGGTAGCGATTTACCTTGTGCAGAAGCTGGTTGTGGAGGAAGGCTATTCGGCCGAAATGAGTGAGGAGGAGGATTTTGAAGGACGCCCACGAAATTACCATTGTTACTTCCTGAAAGGTCATGATTGCTAGGAAAGAAGTTTGGAGTAGACTTACTAGCAGGAACAGCAGGCTCACTGCGACCAAAAAACTCGTGTGGTGTTCTTTTTAATGACATTGTCTGTGAATATTCCGACTTGTATGGGTATCCATTATTCATATTTTCTTGAATGGTAGATGTTGGCACGCTAGAGGCTCTAGATATGCTCGGCTGATTGGGGGTTTTCCTGATACTTCTCCCTTTATATTTGCTATCCCCATTCCTTCCAGAATTAGGAAAATTTTGATTCCCCAATGTACCATTTTGTGAACGAAAGACCATGGGTTGACTATACTGAACCATTTCAGGGATCGGGCTATAAAACATTTCAGGGTTAAAACTATTGTGGCTGTTAGCAAGTTTAGTTGATTCACCACTGGAAAGAGGAGGACCACCAGCTGAAAGACTCATCCAAAGCCAAACGCTCTTGGCCGCAGCAACGAGCGGTGCAGATGCCTTCATAGGCTGCGCCAAAAGAATATTATATCTCCTCATGCGTAACTGATGGAGAGCGTTAGAAAAATCTCTATCGCCAGATATCAGCAGATAATTCGCGGGAGCAGGATTATCAACTGCCCAGAACAGCATATCAACTAGAATCTTTTTATCGCTCGCATCTTTTACACCTGCTCATACATAAACCTTAATTCACCAACAACCTTCATTTTCTCGATTTTAATTTTAACTTCATGACCAAAAAAAACTATTGATCTCAGCACAGTAAACAATCTTTCAAAGAGTAACAATTCAAGCATGATTGACTGTAATCGCTAAGAAATTAAGATATAAGAGATATTAAGGGTCTCGATTAGGTTACCAGCGGGTACATGATTGAGTGCGATGCCGGTGCTCGAAAGCGCCTGCTGTACAGAAGAAGAAATCCGATTGGTGTCGCCGTAGGCGGAGATGGACACGGGCCCGCAGTAGTTAATCTTAACCAGCGCCGAACTAATGTTCTGCGCGATCGCATGCGGGTTGCAGTGTTTAGGGACCTGACAATTCTCTATGTCCCACCAAACAGACGTCTTCGCCGAAACGTACTGAGATTCAGCCGCACCACCACCGTAGCGAGGAGCTGCCCCGGCTGCCGTAGTGGCGACGACGGAGGCGGTCGTATTAGCTCCGGTTACACCTCCCCTCATGAGTGGCTCACGGTAGAATGGTTGAAAGTAGTTAGGCGCAAGATAGCATGTAAGAAAATTTTGGGTTTGATTGTTTGGTTTTCACTTGCCTTTGAATTGGTCCGCTCTTATATAAGTTTTCTCCAATTATTCTTTGGAATGAGTCTTGAAGATACATAAGACGATGAATCTCTACTTTGCTTAAGCTCTGGTTAAGCGAAGGATCTAATACTCTAATATAGAAGAATAAAGGGGGTTTCGCTGACGTACTTTTTCTAACCCTTCCATTACGCTTACTGGGGGAGAGACTTGGAATGTATGCACCATTCAACTAACTCGACGCGGCATTTAAAGAGTTCCTTTTTTTCATCTTTAACACGGCACTAAGTTAACTGCAATAATTGTTGTAGTTGAGATTGAAAGCACCGATTTACGTAGTGCGAGGGACGAGTTATTGGTCAAATGGACTATCTACCTCTTCTGTCTATTTTTTTTCTCTGTCTTTTAACATTCGTTATACATTTTCTTTATTTATTTGCAATTGCTTGGATCTCGAGAAGAAAGTTCGAGAGACGTGATGTTTTGCATCTCTTCTTCTTGCGCACAATTTCCCCCTTCACTTCGCCTCAACGCTCCACTGTTCGAGTCTTGACCTAATGCAACCTACAAGTATTTTTTGTTTTCGTCTTAAACCTGTTTAAAGTAACCTATATATAATATAATCAATATAAATTAATAATATTTTTAAAATAAATAATTTTTTGATCTTAATTTAGGTTAAAGGTCTAAATTAATAATTTTAATAAATTAATAAGATAATAATTTTCTAGAATACTCTTATATAAATTTATGATCTTTTTAATACTATAAATTAATAATTCTATAAAATTATAAATATAACTAAGACAACTTAGTAAAATATGATTTCATTGTTGTTTGCTTCTTAAAATTTAAATGTAGTTATATTTCATCTCCAACTTTTCTTAAAATACGAATATCATTCAATTAGTCAATACAATATATATATATATATGTTTTATTCATAAATAATAATATTGGTTCGTTGAATTAGAAAAAAATCTCTTTATATTAATAAATTATTATTTTATCAATAAATTAATACTTTTTTAAATTAATAAAATTAATCAATATTATTAATTTATAGAGGTTTTACTGTAATATAATAATATCTTGTTATACTTTTAAAAATGAGTATAGAAACTATAAATTCTTTATCAGACGAGACTTTTAAATAAATATCTTTATTTGCTGGAGTCTCCAATAAGCCTTCTTCATTTGAATTTATTGAATCCATGTAACATTATAGAATGAAGTTTAAATTCTAAATATCATATTTATCTAAATCGTTAGTCTATAAATAATCATCATTATCCTATGTCTAGTACCACCACATCAAGATCATTATGATTATCATTAAGTAAAACTGATAAAAAGGTTGAAATATTCAAGAACTCAAATCAATTTTTATCTTTGACTTTATAACCGACTATCTTCTACAGAAAAAATATTAACCAATATATGAAGAAATACATTCTTTAGATTTATTTATATTTGAATTGATTTATTAAATTTTCTATTTCAGATAAATTACTAAAAGTTTTCAATTTAAAATTAAAAATATGAATTGGTATCTAGTGATAATAATTACCATTAATATTTATAATTAAACTTCCATCAATGAGTGTCCAAGATCACTCAAGTGATTCTTTATGGTATCACCTTTTAATGAATGAAAAATGATAAATTATTTGTTGATTAGTTTGATTGGTGTCTTGAATATTTTAACTTAGGATTAACTCTAATTATAGCCGACCCAAATGAGAAACTTGTCACTAACCGATGGACCGGTTCTCGCAGCTCCAACTGTAGAAATGTAAAGATGAGTTTATTGCCGATGAAACGACAAACATATAAAGATGCAAAAGCAACGAATTCCCACCCACTATTTCTTTCTCTAATGTACAAACAAAGCATATGGGTCCGCCCATATCTCCCACCCTTTCCATGTGTAAACTAATGTTTCTGCTTCATCAATCATGACTTCCTCCCCCAACAATGCTGCAACCGCCTAATATACGTTTTTTAAAATATTTATCATTCCTTTCTTCTCAAACTTACCAACATGATCCCAAAGAATGAAGTTTTTATATGCCTCGAGCATATTTTTTGGGTGACTTATTGTAATCCAAGCAATCGAAGATACATAACCATTCATGCAAGAAAAGGACGAGATGAGCATTTCGTTAAAGGAAGGAATAGGCCTGTAAATGAACTGAACGTTCAACGAACCGTTCATGAACCGTGCGACGGGAAGTTCGTTTATGTGCGTTTATTTATTAAATGAACTAACATGAACAAGATTTTGTGTTCGTTTAATTAAATGAACGAACATGAACATAGGTCTCGTTCGTTCATTTACGTTCGTGAACGTTCGGTTAAGTTCGTTCGGTTATGTTCGTTTATGTTCGTTCGGTTATGTTCGTTTATGTTCATTCATTTATGTTTAACCCAATATTCTTAAATCAATTTTGGTGACCAATTTGTAAGTATCTTAAAAATATTAATTAATCTGATATTCTGATGACCAATTTATGTTCCTATATTCATTTTCTCCCTTTTTTCCCAAACCCTAGTGTTCACTGGAAAGTAGAGACGATCGCTAGAAGCTTCAAAACAAGTTATATTATAGTGCAATCTGAAGTTTTACAGGTCTGTTTTCATCTCTTTCTTTGTTTTATTTTGGCTTAATAGTTGATATGTAAAGTTATTGTGGGTATCTTCACATCTAAAACTCAAGAAAACATCATACTTCTTTCTAGAAATAGATGAGAAGATAAATGTAATAATCGGAAGTATATGAGCATCAGTAAAGAGAAAAATATATAGAATTTGCCATAAAACAAAACAAAGGTTTCTATGCAATTTCTGAAAAAGAGTGTAATAGCGGAAGTAATGGGTTTTCCAGGAAGAACCCATTAATAAGTAGAAAATACATTTTGACAATGAACTTTTGTTTTCATAGTTCTTGTGTAACCTTTAGTTGTAGAGTAGACTTTAGGTACGTTAAAATTTTGAATGGTGGTTTAGCAATAATATCAGTTACAATATGTAGCATCGAAGGGATTTCGGATCTATGTTATTGCCTTGTAGTCCAATTTGTACCGTTCGAAATCTTTATGCTGTTAAATTTTCTACTCTGCAAACGGAAATGACCATTATTAACAAACATCACTAAAGTCTGACATTGATGTCACAAAACTTTTAGCCAGCGAAATTATTAGAATAACGTACTGGAATTCATATGTAATCATGGACCACTAAGATAAATGTTATAGCGTTAAATTAAAGTCATGTGAATCATTTAATATCTTTAAAAGATCGATCGAAATATTTGATATCTTCAAACATTTCATCACTGCTAATCAGCTCTTACGCTATTTATCACTGTAGATTTGGTTGATTTGCATTGTCGACTATTTTTCATGAAAGAACAATGGAAGGTAGGGTCTCCAACGTTTATGTTCGTGTTCATTTATGTTCGTGTTCGTTTATGTTCGTGTTCGTTTATGTTCCTTTATTTATTAAATGAACGAACATGAACAAGTTATATTCCTTAATAAAGGAACATGAACAAAAAAAATTTTGTTCGTTTATGTTCGTGTTCGTTTATGTTCGTTTATTTATTAAATGAACGAACATGAACATACCTCCGTTCGTGTGCGTTCGGTTCGTTTGCAGGCCTAGGAATGAAGGCTATGATTATATATATAGAACCATTCATGTGCAGAGAGAAACGTTCGCTATTACCAAATTGAATTTAACTATTAAAAAAAACAAATTGAATATAAAGAATACAGTAGATGCATATGGAGCTTTGATTATTTGTTTATTACATATTCAATTTCATGATTAATTTATTATTATAAATATGAGGGTTAGTGTTAGTCTAAATAATATATAATATGGTAAATGATAAATATAATTACTAATTAATGTTTTATGTTAATAGGTTACAAAGTCCCAAACAAGACCCAAATACAATACAAAGCAGCCCAAGACAAAACGAAATCAACAGGCCCAATGATAGAGGCCCGTGTGTATCATGCCCAAATAGATTAGGGTTTCATCATGATCTAGTGTAGCCACCCAATCTCAACCATTGGATCTGGATTGAGATCAAAGGGCCTGATGATTTCAAAATTAGGGTTTTACCCTAATCACCAAGACCACCTCCGCTGTATGATTCGTGCGTGTGATACACATGCTCAACCACTTGGCTTCCCACGCCGTGTAAGTCATCGCCGATGACCTCCAAGCTGCAGACATCAGCGAATCCGACAAAACAGTGAAGCAAGAGTTCAGAAAATCAAATCAAATCCGCCAAAAACCCTTTTAAAATTCTTCAAATAATCATGGAAAATCTAAATTCTTTAAATGAGAGTTAAAGAAATCATTTCCCTTAAGGAGAAGTTTATTGTTTTCACCAAATCTTCGGTCAAAAGCCTCCATATAAACAAACATCCTTAATAAGATCTAAATCCTCCAGACACATATTAATCTTAGAAAAGACTATTGGTAAGTGTAGACACTCATTTTTGTCCGAGTCTAAAAAAATATTTATTATTTATTTACTTATTATTATTATTTTTTTTATTTTTTTTATTTTTCAGGACCCTCTCATTGATTCACATGGAATTCTCCATTTCTGTTTTCTTGTAATGATTATGAGCATTGTTTGTACAACACTTACACGCCCATCAGACATAGAAAAGAAGCATTGCACGTTAACCCACTTACAGATGAATCGTGCGTGTACTGGTTTGCCCTTAAAGCTTGAAATCTAATGAACAGGTTGTTGTGATCTATAGTGGAATATGCTTAAACGATAAAAAGGTGAAACAAGGGCCCCATTTTTTTATCATAAAATGATAAACATGCCTATTTTCACGTAAGCATGAAACAAAGGTGGTTGCACGTTGGCCCCATGTTCAACCCACTAAACCAATAAACTACCCCACCACTAAAAAATCAACCTACCATCTCTTTATTAATTCCTCTAAAATTTACGAAATGGGGGGAAGCATAAAAGAAAAATAGAAGAGGGGGTTATCTCTGTAAGTGGAGCAGTTGCAATCTCCAAGATAAAAACATCAACATGTTTTCAAACTAATGAAGAACAGTTTCTGATATCTCCCGAGCTGCAAAGACTTTTAAAAACCACATTTTTGCCTTTGAGTTGAGCAACACACAACGATCGCCTGCGCTTGA